AGTGAAGATTTAAGTTATTTCATTATCAGTCTTACTAATAAGAACATAGAATATTATACCTTATTGAAAATCTACCAGCTATCTAAACCCATTAGTTCAGTGGATAGATAATGTCTTGAGATTCGGATCACAAAGTACTGATTTCAGGTCTTAGTGGGAACATCAATATTGGGATGTCCCGCTGACGAATCTAGAATAAGACGAAACATCTTAAACTCTACTGTTGGTCACAATCCATCGATAGAAGTAATACATCAAACATTGGAACTAAGTGGCATGTGTTAGAATCCCGCAATAAGATATCAGTTCTCCCACCATTACAGATTTTGTTTATTGATAAGTGCTAACTAGCACAAAATCTAGGTCAAATATGGTTTCCTGCAGATTACTCTATCCAATCATCTAACATTAATAATCACATTCAATAGTTTATAACTTCTGTTAGTATAAAATCTTATTACTGTCATAATGTAACTAGTTGTTTTCATTTGTATATTGAATAATTTGTTTCCCTCTTTGTCAAATAACAATTCAATAGTTCTTATGTAAGAACAATGAACCAGTATACAACGAAGTTAATGTCTAACTTCAATTGACCCACGATATTGTGCTTCCATCGTCTTTTTATGAGTAACTGCCTCACACACCATTGAATATCAGATCAATAGTTTAGAGGTAAAATGTTCCCATACGAGACTGAAAATCCTGAGTTCGACTTCCAGTTATTGGGTCGTGAATGCTTACTATTGAAAAGTTCTTTAGTATGACGAAATGGTTATCCAATGCTCCCAGATTTTTAATGATGATTTAACTTAGATCAGCTCATGATTTCAACTCTATATTGATATTTTCATAGTTGAAAGCATGAGTCAATTGAAGCTAGACCACCAGGGAAAACCTGGAAGCACTGCTTGACGGCCGTTTCGTCCTATTGTGGGAGTCCTCAGCAGTGCGCCTTGCGAGACTTGAACCCAGGACCTACCAGTCTCACGCACGAGCAATTAACCTCTAGATCACTGAGCCGGTTGACAGTCAACGGTGTTAATATCTGACTTAAACCATTCCACGAAGTTTGAGCAACTGTTTATATTGATAATTATTAATTGAATTAGCTTAAAACAGGATATACATATATATATATACTCCAATTATCTTATCATATTCCATCTGTTCACCTGATTTATTTATCACATTTAAATTGAACATCAAAAAGCAATCAGTTTACTAAATTATTATCATTCAATAGTAACTTTATAACCTTTGGAGTTAATATATGTGATTAAAGAGTTAACTTGTTTATTTCATTTCATTGTGATATGTTCTTTCTTTCCTCTTTTTGTTGTTGTTGTTGTGTTACATCACATTTCTTTCTCTATCTTTTCTTGATACCTCCTTCATTCTTTGGTTACTTTTTCTTCCCTTATTCAGTTACTCATTTATTCATTATATTTTCTCTATGTCACTTAATATATACTACTCATATATAAGAAAGTAGGCGTGTACAACATTTAATTCATTATGTAATTGGATTTTGACAGGGAAATTAGTAGACTTTGATTTTTAATTTCATATATAAATATGGTTTTGATGTGTTTTGTTTCTTCTCTTTTTTTTTCTTTTTTTCTTCTTCTTCTTTTCTTTTTTTTTTAATTTTACAGTTCATCAATTTTGGAATTTCACACCTTATTTAGGAAGAAAAATTAACTTTATATGATAAAAACTTTAATTATGGTGTAACGTTTTTATTTTTTTTCCAGAAAATTAATGATTTGTATATTTTTCCTTTTTTTTGTTCCTGTTAGAGGAGAAGAGAAGAGGAAGGATTTTATTTTGACTGTTATTCATCTACATTTTGATTTCTCTTTAATTTTAGGACTAGTTAATATTTTACAGTTGAATTCATGAGTTAATTGAAGCACCAGATGGCCGTTTCGTTATAGTATAGGACTTCTCAGTAGTACATATCCACGATCCCGGCTGAAGAGATTCGAACCTAGGATCTATCAGCCTCTAGATTACTGATTTATTTTTTTATTATTTAAACACATAAACATTGGTACAAGAAAGCACCAAATACATACGCACCGCACAAATCTCATTTCATTTGTGTGAGGGCTGTGATACTGCCCAGATGCCCAAACTGAAACAGGTGGTTTTCTTAGGGGGCCATACCCCGAGCCTTTGACCTGAAGGTCTAATCCATAAGGCAGTGGAGCATCGTGAGGAGATTCAGTCCCATGATAGCCAGTGACCAACGATTGATTCATACGTCATTTTTTCCCTCAGTATACTGTAGCCCATGTTCACCATTGGTTTGGAATCAGGGTTTTCCAACTCCTCTAGGTGGACCCTCCGTGTCCACCAACCCGGTTAAATCGCCGGACATTCGCTTTCGTCCTCTCAATTTCGTAAACAACACCTGTGGTACGAAAAGATAATGAGTAGGACTTCCCTGTCAGAGGCTATATACGCGTGTCCATGTGAGAGCATTTGGAAAGGGAGAGCTGACTCTTCCCACTCTCGGCCATACCAGGACATTTGGGGGCTAGATCTCTGAGCCAGTATCCAATGGTGTTAATCTATAACTTCAACACGATCTTCGAAATTGAGCAACTGTTCACCAATTCTCTTCAGTAAGTTACTATCTCACAACAGACTCGGTTAAACTCCACTGGTCATGGCTTCTCATTAGAATTCTAGGAAATACCTCTTGAAGCCAGTCACTAGTGAACATATGATGATTATCAGAAGGGGGATTTTGTGGAGAGTTTAGTAACTTTATAGTTGAATTCATAAGTCGATTGAAGTTAGACCACCATGAAAAGCCAGTAAACACTGGACGGTGTTTTAGTCCTAATGTGGGACTCCTCAACAGTGCGCATCTACAATCCATATCTTAGTTTTGCTATGGATAGATTTTATTCACACAAAATAATTTTATTGTTTTGTTTATTGTCTAATTAAGGAGGAGTCCCATACTATGACGAAATAACCATCCAGTGCTTCCAGGTTTTCCATGGCGTTCGAGCTTCAATTGACTTATCAACTCAACCATAAAATTACTAAAATCTCCACAAAACCCCTTCTGATACTATTTAACATTATAAAATTAGATGATTAAAGGTAGTGAGAAAGTAAATTTGATCAACCTGTGTTCCATCTTATTTGATACTAGTTAGTAAGGGATGTCTACAATCTTGAAGGGGTTGATGTTTCCTGTGGGATTCAAAACATCGTTATTCTGAGACGTTACTAATGACCTATTCTCCCATAACTGATCTCATGAAAGACTGAGATGTTTACATTGATTTATTACTGTGTAGTAATTAATCTCGTGTTTATCTCGTCCTATAATGCTGATTGAATTCTGTCGACCAAATCAGATTGTGACCATTACTTTGATTGAATTACTATGTTTTGATGTTGACTAGTTTGAAATGAACGACATGAACCATGAACTTAGATTTCGAGCTAATTGACACTCATTTTGACTACACTGGATTAACTCAAAGAATCTCAAATTTCATTCGTATATGTGTTTACTATATTAGTTGATTAATAATGAATAAATATCAGTTTTATTTAATGCCTGATTGAGTCAATCTCAAAATGTTTTCTGAACAATATTTGATTGTAGATATCTAACCTATTTGTTTATTTATCATGTATACAAATGATCTTTCCTCATTACAATGGATAGGAATTAATGCTGACTAAAGCTTTTATACTATAAAGTTACTCTCCACGAGGCTTGAAGGTTCTGGGTTCAGTCCTTATATGGATGGTGAATGAACACTGTACAGGAGTGTCTGACTAGAAAGAAACAGTTACTTTGTGTACTTTTCTTTGTTTTAAATGATCATCCAACTAAACTTTGAAACTTGTACATTCCATAAGACTTGGATGTTATATGTTCATTCTTAGGTAAACTCTTTAATGGGAACTATTGAGAAATTCAATACAACTATCCAATGCTTCCTAGTCCTACGATATCTCTCCATATTCATTTGTTTCTTTAAACACTTAAACATTGGTACAAGGAGGCACCAAATATGAGGGTCACTCCCTGAATCTATGACCTACAAGTCTAATCCACAAGGCAGTGGAGCGACGTTAGGAGATGTAGTGCCACAGTAGTCGGTCAGCAACAATAGGTTGATACGCCATTTGTTTCCTCAAGATCCTGTAGTCCATTTGCACCATTGGTTTGGAATGAGGGTTTCCTAGTTGTATACTCTACATCTACCAACCCGTTTAAAGCTCTGGACATTCGCTTTTCGTCCTTCGAATTTCGTAAAAAAAACACCCTCTGCCATGAGAAGGCAGTGAATAGGAATTTCCTGGTAGTGGCTGTATGCATGCGGTCACGTGAGAGTATTTGGAGAAGGAGAGTTGACTCTCCCCACTCTCAACCATATCAGAGCATTTAGGGTCACGATGTCCCTACAAATATACTCACCTCATTAACCACTATGATATCATTCAAAAAAGCAAACACAAACACTATTAAACCAAGTGATAATAATTGAAGACGTGAGTGTATGAAAATACTAGATCTCCACAAAAACCCCTTCCGATAATATTCATATGCTCATTAGTGACTGACTTCGAGAGGTATATGCAGGAGTTCTAGTGATAAATAGTGACCAGTGGAGTTCAGACCACGTTTGTTGTGAGATAGGAACTCACTGAAGACGATTGGTAAACGGTTGCTCAACTTCATGGATTGGTTGGAGTTAGACATAAATACCATCGGATGCCGGCCAGCTCAGTGGTCTATCGGTTAAGTGCTCTGGCGCGAGACTGGTAGGTCATGGGTGCGCACTACTGAGGAGTTCCATAATAGGACGAGTTGGCCGTCCGGTGCTTCCAGGTTTTCTCTGGTGGTCTAGCTTCAATTGACTCACGCTTTCAACTATGAAAATACTGAATTCTCAGCAAAAAACCCTTCTGATAATAAGGGATAATACTTCATGTTTTTTTTTGTTTTCTTATTATTACATATTTATATTTGTAAAATAAGATTACAATTTGTTAAAAATTATTCGTTTGCATTCACTGTACAAATGAAAGCCAAAATAAATTAAGATCATTATGTTGATATTAATTATGAAAGAAAAAAATTTTTTTGATTTTTTTAAAAAAATTTTTACTACAAGTCAATGTGTATGGATAAAATTTTTGCTTAGATACCGTTGATTTTCTTGTTGATATCAGTGTTGGGGTTTGAAATGATAGGAATACATTGGACTGGATATTAAGTTGATTACAAACACACATGCACGCGCACACACATGCACACACACGCACACACACATATGAATAATGAATGAATAAGTTAGTCAGTTGATGGATGATTCTGTCCAGAGTATTTGTTTGTCGTTTTTAAAAGAAAAAGGGGGGGTATTCGATGAGGATAATAATAATAGTAATAGATGAATGAAATGTTGTGCAATGTAGCTTCCCTTTGAACTATATATACTTTATCATCATTCCATCCGGTTAACGATTATTCCTTGATTATCTAATTAGAATAAGAAAAACAAAGCAGAGATAGAATAAATAAAAAATAAGTTTAACATAATTGAAACCAAGTGATTATAGTATACTGATGACTGGATCAAATTCAACACAGTGACTTTTAATGTTAGTATGATATTCAAATGGTTGTAACCGATAGGGTACAAGTATGTTGTGGTTAATTACCAACGGAATTGAGAGATGGTTGTGCAAATCTCAAAATGTGATCTAAAAATTAGGCCTACACCGTGAAACTTGAAGGTCCTTGGTGAAGTCATGGATTGTCAGTACCACTGAGGGGTCTAAGGCTAAAAATGAAACAATTGTCCATATTTATTTAACTAAGATCAATTCCTAGTGTAGATTATGAAATACTTCTTATGATTAGTTTATAGAGCATACTATTTGTTCAGAACCGAAATTCTTTAACGAGAAATCTTAATATGGCGTTATTCCGTTGGAACGATGCAATGTGAAAACGAAGGAACATGAAATGTATTCTATTTTTTAAGCAGGTTTTTTTCTGAGAATTATTTTCTGAAGAATTAGTTCCTTTTCTATTGACTTAAAAGTAAACTTGTGTTGATACGTTGAATTCTAGGTGTATTTATGTTGTATAAACTTGATAAAAAAAGTTGACATCATGGATCGATCAATTTTTTGACTACTATTGTAAATCTGGGAACACTGGCCGGCCATTTCGTCCTAGTACGGGATTCCTCAGAAGTGTGCATACACGATCCCGCCCGCGGGATTTGAACCCAGGACCTTCAGTCTCGCGTGTGAACGCTTAACCTATAGGCCAATGAGCTTATCGGCATACAACAGTATTAATATCCAGCCTCAACCAATCGCACGTGCAACCGGAGGCCCTGGGTTCAAATCAGGCTAGCAGAATCGTGGATGAAGACTTCTAAAGGGTCCCATTCTAGGACGGAACGGCCGTCCAGTGTTTCCAAGTTTTCAACAGTGGTCTAACATCAATCGATTTATGATCTTAATCAATATCTTTGATGAGTTTGTACAACCCTTTCATACTATAGACTACCACAGATGAAAAAACTACCTATAAATAGGATTTTACTGCTTCAGAAAATTTTCTTCGCTCAAACATTTTCTTTTTTTTTTTAATGAATCTATTAGAAATATTTCAAAAATATATTTATAACTCAATAGAGGGTCGAAGTATATAACGATCTCCTTTTAAATGATTAAGTGTTTTTGACAAAAACGAGAGTCCCCCTTAAATAATAAACTTTGAAAAACGTATGAGCTGTGTTAAATCGACAAATACATTAGATTCTCATTACATTTTACCGATAGGTCCATGATTTTAACAGTTTTTTGCATCGATTGGTCAAAGATTGGCTTTCGATGGATCATAAGATTGAAGCAATGTACATATTGAGTGGTTGTTTCGTTTATGCTCAATTGAGCAATACCAATTCAAAGTGATTAACAGTACAGACAACCCTAATGTCTAGTTCTGCAAACATACATAAATTTGAAAAAGAAAAAGTGAAAGTAGCATGACTAATTAAAACTTAGTCATCAAATGGTAGCTTTGTTTCTCCTTTGGGAATAGTGTTTATACTAATTTTCTTCATGCTAATAACAATCTTAAGAGAAACTGTAGTTTCATTTCTGATTGAATTTCTTAAACCTAATTCTCAAAACATAAGCATAAGTATAAAAAAAATAAAGTTTGTTGATTTAGAATACGAAAAGAGTCATTCTGATTTATCAGAAGGGGGTTTTGTGGAGATTTTAGCAATTTTATATAGTTGAGATCATGAGTCAATTGAAGCTAGACCACCATGAAAAACGTGGAAGCACTGGACGGCGCACTGCTGAGGAGTCCCACAATAGGGTGAAACGGCCGTCCAGTGCTTCCAGGTTTTCGATGGTGGTCTAGCTTCAATTGACTCATGATTTCATTCTGATTTGTTTAATTATCTTTCATTTGTACTGTATAATATTTGAAACTATTTCGTCTAATGTACCTTTGTTCCAACCCTGATGCTCACACATAGACTTAAATCTAGTGTCCACCACTTTAAACATTCAAAAGTTAAATGACTATCTACTACTAAGTACGAATAGTATTTTATATAGTTTCATATTGATCTTCAATTTTCACATTAAAAGTTGAGTCTCAATTTCTTTTTCTGGATGATTGATTTGGAAATAGCTTCTGTCATTGAAAAAAATATTATCAATATTTTCTAGGAAACGAAGAGTTGTGATATTCCAGTGGATTCATTTGAACTCATCTGAATATTAATATTTTTTATTTTTTTATTTGAACACATAAATATTGGTACAAAGGGGCACCGAATACATATGCGCCACACAAATCTCATTTCATTTGTGTGAGGGCTGTGATACTGCCCAGATGCCCAAACTGAAACAGGTGGTTTTCTTAGGGGACAACACTCGGAGCCTTTGACCTAAAGATCTGATCCATAAGGCAGTGGAGCATCGTGAGGAGATGCAGTCCCATGATAGCCAGTGACCAACGATTGATTCATACGCCAATTATTCTCTCAGGATATTGGAGTCCATGTTCACCATTGGTTTGGAATCAGAGTTTTCCAACTCACCTACGTGGACCCTCCGTGTCCACCAACCCGGTTAAATCGCCGGACATTCGCTTTTCGTCCTCTCAATTTCGTAAACAACACCTGTGGTACGAAAAGATAATGAGTAGGACTTCTGTGGCAGAGGCTATATACGCGTGTCCATGTGAGAGCATTTTGAGAGAGAGTGCGGACTCTCCCCACTCTCGGCCGTACCAGGGCATTATTTCATTATCCAATAATCAAAATGAATGTAGAGGATTTATCTTATGTTTTCAGTGATTGGAAATACGCTCTAGGAGATTAAATACCTCAATGATAATGTCTCGTATTATAAAGCTGGCTCATAGAGGGTATAAATTCTATATGGAACATTAGTTCCTTCACAGAGTTTCCTATTTACTACCTTAAACTACATAAAATCTAATTACATTATATACGATCTCAAAGAAATCAGACTAGTGATTATATTATAATTTAATCGATAAAATGAAAACCGCACTAAAAAACAAAGCAAATATGAGATTGATCATCATATAGTAGTCACTTGGTTCCATTCATATCATGCTTATCTATTATCAATCCTGATCATGTATTCGTTAAATAATACAATCACATCTATCAATGTCCTTTTTCAATGTTGAAAACAAATTAAATAAATGTATTTACTTCTAATATTTTAATAAATGCTTAGTAGTGTATTTTGCCCAGGACAGGGTTGGATGAAGAATACTGGTGTGCGCCTTATGCTCCTCCACGAGGGGTAACATGCATAAGTAAGTAAGTAAGTAGGTAGGTAAGTAAGCATACTACCTTTTGTTCTATGACCAGAAAATACTGCTTTATAGTTCAATAAAAAAAGTTAGTCATTGGTTAAATGAGTAAAATTCCCTTTAATGTCAATTACACACTCATCCCCTCCCCCTCTTTTTTTCTCTCCCTACGTGTAAATGTTTAATTTCTATCAGAATGTTACAATATGTAATAAGTACACTCGAAATAAATACATTTTCCTTTTTGAAAAACAAAAAAAATAGGAGGCTTGTTCATCTTTTGTTGTTAAGTTCATTTTAAAGTAACAATTAATCATTTGAAAACATTTGAGATAAAAATCAGTAGTACAGTATGGTTGATAATAATTTCCAACCTGGAAACACTAGACGGCCGTTTCTTCCCATTCTGGGACTCCTCAGTGAAAATGCGCATCCACCATTCCGCTTCACGAGATTCGAACCCAGGACCTACCAGTTTCCCTGGTGGTCTAGCTTCAATTGATTCACGCTTTCAACTATGAAAAATACTAAATCTCCAAAAAAACCCTTCTGATGAATTTTATTGTTTAATTACTATAACTATCATAGAATAAACATTAGATAAATGTATGATTTTTTTTTCTGCTTCAATTGTATATCCACTAATCGGTTCACTTATGTGATTCATGAATAGATATTGGAAACTAGGAAGTGCTGGACAGGAGTTTTATTCTAGTATGGAATTTTTCACCAGTTAACACTAAGAAACTTCAAGTTCCGTGGTAAATGATTGACAGTTAGAAAAAGTTGATTGACTTCCAGAGATACAGTTCTCAATTCAACAGGTTTAAGATGTAGCATAATGAAAACCAAAAGTCATTGGTGACTTTTTCCAACAGTCAAGACTCCTTACTAGCACTTCAGGGACATTTTCAAATAATTTGCTTGTGAGTTGAGGGGGTTTTGTGGACATCGATTTAATTTTTGGGCTGTATTACTCACCGGTTAAGCTAAATACATGAGAGTGGGATGGATATGCACCAATGAGAAGTCTCATACTGGAACGAAACAATCATCTAATGTTCCATAGGTTTATAATTGTTCCTTAGCTGAGATCAATATATAGCGAATATAACCTACAGATTAAACCAATTCCACGAAACCCTTTCAAATAAATTCGAGTATAGCTTTGCTGGAAAGACAAGTGATTAAGTTAAAAAACCAACCGAAAATTAGGGGCTATAGGTCAACTACACTGTTTCAGTTTTACAACTCGTTGGTTAACACAATGGCTCTCGAGCTGATGTCAACCAATCATGTAAACCATTTTCGAATTGAACTTACCTTGACCATTGTATAATTGGACTTGAAGAATCCACTACAGTTTCTTTACTTATCATTGATTCATGAATAGTCGTAGCCGATGACGTTGATGATGATGAGGAGGAGGAGGATGAGGAGGAAGAGATGGAACCTGATAAAGATAAAGGTGAAGATAATGTTGGAGTTGAATGAAACATATGATTAATAGATTTTGATGCTTCATTTAATTTTACTCTTTGCATTAAATGAATTTGTTGTTCATGATTAGATGATTGTATAGAATTCGGTCGTGTTTTAACAGATGATATTGATGGGGAAGTATTAATTGAATTATTTATTGAAGACGGTGTTTCTGATGTAGAACATAAAGATGATGTTGATTCTATATCATGATCTGTATAGTTATCTGCTAGATAAATTAATGATGTTGATAAATTCTGTTAATTGAAATAAACAAAACAGCATACAGATTATTCAGAAGAGAACAACCGTTACATAAGAGTAGATAAAAAGTAAGTATGATTAGACTGTTTTATTGATTATCATTTTAAGCCAGTAATCACCGGGAAATAGTTTCATCATTATGTTGGATCCTTTAACTGTACACAACAATGATCTCATTGATGAACAAAGCCGAAAAATGTCGGATCTAGGGCTGATATATAAACCTAAGACAAGATCTAATACTTCTCATTTCCAGTTCTGGTTTATTTGTTATACATTACAACCGTCATCTGTCATTATCAGTGGTACTTGTTTCATGTTTGATATGTTTGATTTACATCAGTTACAACCTCTGACAAAAAATTGAGGGATCTACTTTAAATTTTATCCCATATGAACGCGTGATTATTAGTAGCATACAACCTAGTGGTTTACATTACGAACTGACTTTAGGGAGACAAATGTTAGAAATTAGAAAGATGTTTCTAGATTTCTAATGAGAAGCTATAATCAGAGACAGATATTACCGATTGAAGTTGGAAGTATGAATCTTCAAATTCTGGTTTAACAATCTAAAGCTAAATCACTCTATTCAAGGGTTAAAGATTTTGATTTGGAAGCCTAATAAGATTGAGAACTGTTGAGGAGTCCATTACCAGAATGAAACAACTAATTAATGATCCCTAGTTTCCTGTGGTTGGCTAGCTGTAGCCGATATGTGATGTAAGCCTCGAAATGAACACTATTTATAAATCAAAGTAGTGTAAGATACTGAACAGTTCGTTCTATTCTGCTTTACGGCTGCGAAACGTGGCCATTTAGAGTAGAAGGTACTCGTAAGTTGCTTGTATTTGACCACAAATGTCTTAGAAATATTGTCAGCATCTATTGGAATCACCGGGTAAGTAATAGTGAGGTTAGACACGGAATATTAGGGAATGATGGTAAATAAGTTGGTGAGGTTGTGAGTCTTCACCTTCCAAGATGTTCGGGTCACGTGCTACGTATGCCTGAACACCAATTACTACGACACGCAATGCTGACTAGTATTGGAGATGGTTGAAAGGAAGTTAGAGGAGGCCAAACCAAAACATGGCATCAGTCCTTGAAGTCACTGACTTCCAGTCTGAACCATGTTGGTAGATGCAGACTACTTGGTTGAAGTTCGCGCGAATATCGTAACCGTTGGTTGAAGACTGTGTGAAGTAGCTCAGAATCGATCACAATTGCGTAGGTGCATACCCTATTTGTCTTCCCTGTGAGATTAAAATTACTTTATACCTTTCTTTCTACGAACCAATTCTTTCTCCCTGTATTACATCCTTATATACAATCTTTCTTTTATTTATTACTACCAGTAGAATAACTACTTCTATGAATTCGATGATGGTTTAATCATTAAATTAATGATCCTATCTATAATTATCGAGTTCAATCATATGAAATGAGGTTAGTTTTCATTGCAGACTAAAATAAACAGTTTAATTACTGAAAACTAGGTCACATCAAAGAGTTGATTTGTGTCAATTAACTCCTCTTGATAATTATCCACTTACTACTATTGCACATTGGATAACATTCAATATCTCCAAGTCACATAATGAGTACAACACCTTTAGACTAGTTAACGGGGACCCAATAGTTTATATACCCCTTTTCCCTAAACTTGCGTTATCGTTATCAAGTGAGATTTGTAATATCCATTTAATTAGAATTAGAATTCAGAGAGTTTATTTCGATGAGTACATGCACTTTTCAGTGCAGTCGTTCCCAATTTTTATGTTTTTTTTTCTACTACAAGATCCTTCTCTCTAATGAGTATACTTATTTCCCCCTGTCATCCATTATTTGGCTTTAGATTTCGTTGTGGTAAATATTAACTCAACGTTTGCCATTTAATAAACTCGACTAATAATAATAAGCAAAGATAGATAGTGGCTAGCAGTGGAATCCATGATGGGCATTTCATCCTATTTGGAACTCGTTAGCTGAATGCACTTGCATTCTACAGTTGATATTCACTCTAGGACTCGAGATAATCTGCACAGTATGTACATATGCCAATAACAGACTGATCGATTGCAGTCCTAAAACATCAATGGAAAGGTACAAGTAAACAATACCAAGTGAGTTTAATAATAATAATAACAGTAATTTCACTAACCTGTAAGTTATACGATGATCCAGACCATGAATTATCATCTGTTGTTTTATTTTCAACCATCGAACTTAAGTCATTTGATGGTAGTCTACAAGTTGATTTTGAAAGAGATATCTGATGATGATCTCTACTATGTTCATAGATAGAAAATGATTTATTAAATTTTGAATAAGATGTAATTTGTGGACAAATTGATTGTTCAACATTGTTACATGTTTTCACTTTATGTTCATTGTACTAGTAAGTGGTTTTTTTTATGAAAAAAATATAAGAAAAATATTCTCAGAAGGAGTTTTTGTGGAGATTTAGTATTTGCATAGTTGAAAGCATGAGTCAGTTGAAGCTAGACCATCATCGAAAACCTGGAAACACTGGACGACCAACTCGTCCTATTGTGGAACTCCTCAGCAGTGCGCATCCACGACCTCGCCTCGCTGGATTCGAACTCAGGACCTACCAGTCTCGCGCCAGAGCACTTAACCAAAAGACTAGTAGATGCGCACTGCCACTGAGCAGTCCCACAATAGGACGAAACGGCCGTCCAGTGCTTCCAAGTTTTCGATGGTGGTCTAGCTTCAATTGACTCATGCTTCCAACTATGCAAAAAAATATTCATTCATCACTGGTTATTATTATAATATGTTATCATTATTGTCTGGTTATTGACTAATAGCAAACTTCAGTATGAATGCTTCTCCTTATATTGAACCTATCAGTATATAAACTAACTGATAGTACATATTGTTAAAGCTTACAAACGATATTTACAATTAAAGTTTATTATAAACAAGAACGTAAGTCAGGGGAACTAATTGTAGTTTAATTGGAAATTATAGAATCTCTTGGTAAAGTATAAGAACTATACATTGAATACTTCATCTGTGAATTACCATCATTTATCCTTTACATTGTGTACAATTCTTCTGATTCACAATTCCTTCCTAATTCCACTTTTGTTTTCTTCAAGTCAACCTTCATAGCCTTTTGCTGCCGGGTTTTTAACTTCCGATTGGAGTTATGTTTGTCGACATGAATAACAAATACCACAAGATAATTAACCTCAATTTACATGGACGATGTTTATTTATGAAAATTTTGGTTGATATTAGATGCATGTACATCCAGCTGACGAGTCCCAAATACGACGAAACGCGCTTCCTGAATTCCACTGCTAGCCACTAACCATCTTTGCTTACAATACTTGTGAACTAAGTCAATATCGAAGCAATCCGTACATGATGCACATATGACCAATAAGAGACTGACCAGTCGCAGTCCTAACATATCAATGGGAACATTCAAACAAACAATATTAAGTGAATAAATTAGATATTTTAGGAAAAACTTAATCCATTACCTCATTCGTTTCATTATCATTATCATTAGTAACATGATTTGTATCTAATCTATTTACTTGTGATATAGAATAAGGTGGATATAAATTTGATGGAATGAAATTGAATTGTTTTTCATTATAATTCATTTCATTATTAATATGCTTTAAAAATGGTGCTATATTATATGGGATCGTCTGAAAGGAATGATTTGGTATTTTTATTAGATTATCTATCCCTTCTTGTTGTTGGTGTTGTTGTTGTTGACCACTTTCATTTAGATGTTTCTCTTCTATTGACCAATCACAACGTAATCTCTTCAATGGATGATAATGATGATGAGGAGGAGGAGGATGATGATGATGATGGTTGTTGAGGGATTCCGTGTAAGGATTTGATTGTTTTAATCTTTTATTATTTAACGTTAAACATGATCTATGATTATTTAAATGTTCATTATTATTATTAACATTATTACTATTATTAGTATTAGTAGTAGTAGTAGTAGTAGTATTACCCTCTTCATTATCATCTTCAACAACAACACCAAATCCATGTTGATCTCGATGAAGATTCATTTGCGATTGACGATGTGTATGTGATTGTTGTTGCTGTCGTCGTTGATGATGATGGCGATGACAGTTTAATGAATTATGTAATTCATCATTATTTGAATTTGTTGGAGAATTATTATGATTTATATTATCTAAACAATTCATATCACTTTGTATACTTTCTAGACCACCACTACTATTACTACTACTACTATTATTACTGATAACTGTACCACTTTCAGGACTGCTTTGATTTATACCAATAATATCATCATTCATAATAGATGTTGAATTAGAACTGGAATGGATTAAATGTGTTGTTGTTGTAGTTGTCGCTATTGTTGTAGTTGTTGATGTACCAGTTGTAGTACAACAACAATAACCGCTCGATAATACATTATCAACATCTTTTCTATCAAATGTATAAAAAGCTTTATGTAAATTAATTCTAGAATCATGTAAAGCTGATAAACTGTCACGATGTTCATTTAATTCTAAACTTGATAGAATGGATGGTGTTGCTGCTGACGTTGTCGTTGATGTTGTTATTCCATATGGATGAAAATTAATACCATTTTGACCAGTTAATGCTAAAAAACTATTCATTGATCCCATTTGCACTGAGGATACATTGGGACATAATGAAATATGACTAGTATTATTATTAACGTTATTTGAAGATGACGTACATCGATTGTTTAAATTTTGATTATTATCTGTTAGATGTTGTGAATGTTGTTGATGACATTCTTCTTCTGCTTCCTCTTCTGCTTCTCCTTGATTAGCACAAAATATAGAGGAGGATGATAATGATGATGTTGGTTGTAGTGATTGCGAAGCTAGTTGTAGATGTGGTGATCGAAATCCAATACCACCACGATTAGGCATTGTATATAATGCTTCGGCCAAATCTGCAGCACGTTTCAAGATGATTTCACGTGGTAAACGTTCTGGATCACCTGGATGACGTGGAATAATTTTGCATAACCTTTGAAATCCATATTCAATTGTAGGATCTGTCATTGCTAGATGAAGAAAAGTCAGTATAGTTTTATGTGAATAATTCTTTTTTATTACTATGCATAAGAAAATCAAGAATGATTGTACATGGATTGTGATAATATTCACTTATTGAGAGTTTAAGTCATCCTAGTGTCAATACTCAGAACTTAATATGTGATCAGTCTTTGTTGCTATGTGCACATCCAGTACAAATTGTGTCGATATATATTATTATTAATCAAGAATTTAGCCCTGAATATCAACATTTAAGCACCGAACCCTTTAGAAATGTTAGTAATTATTTAAATTCAGTAGCTCAGTTGAAAACGCATTGAACATTCAAAGCAACAGGTACTACGTTCTAGTTCCAATGTAAAAATTAACACTGAAATGTGGTAGATGCATTCATCTGATGAGTTCCAAACAGAAGGCAACATGAATTCTAATGCCAGCCATAATTCATCTATTCCACAAAACATTTTATTATGCATAACAAGCAAATTATTTAAATTCATTTTGCACTGATTGAATCTTCCCATTGACGTTCATGACTTACATTGATCAGTCTCTTATTGACATATGTGCATTCTGTACGGATTGCTTTGATATTATCTTAAGTTACAAGTATTATATTCTTCGATAGATAGTGGCTAGCAATGGAATCCAAAAAGCACGTTTCTTCCTATTTGGGACTTGTCAGCTGGATGTGTTTGCATTTCAGAGTTGATGTTCACTCCCGAACTTGGACTCAGTAACATTCACTTCAGACGCCACGGTATTATCCGATTAGCGGACGAGTCCCAAATAGAACGAGACACGCGTCCTGTATTCCACTGCTAGCAACCATCCATCTTTGCATTTAAAGTGAATTTAATCAATATCAGTTAACTGAAAAGTTTAGGGAAGAGTAGTCGGACTCGAGACAGTTCACACAGGAAGCACATATGCCAATAACAGACTGATCAATTGCAGTACTATAACATTAATGAGAAGATTCATACAAACAATACAAAATGAATTTAAACTTCACCCAATTGCACAAACTAGTGGCTATCAGGACTCAGTAGCTAAGTGGATAATATGATGGCGTTTGAAGCGAACGGTACTGGCTTCGATTGCCGAAATGAACATCTACTCTGAGATGCAGGCACATCCAGCTGACAAGTCCTAAATGCAACGAAACGCGCGTCCTGGATTCCACTGCTAACCACCATCCATCTTTGATCATAAAGCAAATTATTTAGTTTGTGAATGTGGTAAACGGATTATTATTATTTTTTATAAAGTTTGAAAATATACTACTTACCAATATAAGCAAATCTGCCTGGATTATTTTTACAGAATGTTTTATTTTTAAATGCTAATGTCACTTCAACAACACCAGATAAATGTCTTGGTGGTGTACTAACACGTAGAGCATGTGGTGTAATCAGCTGATTATAAAAGATAATGAAAAAGGGAGAGAAAAAAAATCAAGTTTTATTAAGTTTCTTCTCAAAGTTGATAACAATAGAATTTAATAAATCATTCAAACGTTTAGTGGATTATGTAAACAGGATATTCTAGTGACTTAATGATAATTATCAATAGGGGTTTTGTGAAGATTTAGTATTTTCATAGTTATAAGCCTGAGTCAATTAAAACTAGACCATCAAGGAAAATTTGGAAGCACTGGACGGTCGCTCAACTTCGTGAATTGGTTGGAGTTAGACATAAACACCATGGGATGCCGGCTAAGTGATCTATCAGTCAAATGCTCTGGCGCGAGACTGGTGGATCCTGGGTTCGAATCTTACGAGGCGAGATCGTGGATGCGCAATGCTGATGAGTCCCATAATAGGACGAAACGACCATCTAGTGCTTCTAGGTTTTCCTTGGTGGTCTAGCTTCAATTGACTCATGATTTCAACTATTAAAATACTTAATGACAAGTTTTGTTAGTTGAACACTCAATCCAATTTTATTAGTCACTTCTAATAAGCCTAGATTAAATCTATTTGGCAACTTGAAGACAACAAATTAGCGGTGAAGTACAAAAAAGAGCTTTATTCAAAAGGTAGGGTATGTGCAAGAAATCATGCGTATTCATGTTATTTAACAAAGCCTTGATCTTCTAGAAAGTTCTAGAGGCAAACTTAATATGATAACAAGAGGGTAAGTATCTAGTCAAATATGTGACAAATGATTCGTCAATGTTCTTGGTGTTCAGAATAAAACGTTTATTTAAACCTGATTGGATAGAATTTTCCCTTGGACCCTAGTGACTTTTCTAAGGTGTGCTTTGAAACTTCTCAGCATGTAACAATCGAAAACGTAAGTTTTTTATTTGTACTTTTACTTGTCCAACTTTTTCTCACTTTTATGGTTTCATTTCATTGTTGTAAGGCCACAGTTGTATAAATCTTAAAATTTCTTTTCGATATACGTGTTTCAAGTGATTTTCACAAACCTTAGTGAACATTACAAATAGAGTAATAGTAGTAGTAGTAGTAGTAGTAGTAGTAGTAGTAGTAGTAGCTTTATTCAGTACTATATTTTTGGTACAATATAAAATTCTCAACACAAACTATTTCAGCAAGTTTCCATTTCTTACTTCTTCGTCGATCCTGACGGTAAATATTGAGTGATCGCCGGTTAGAAGTTAGCAGGGCATATCTGAATGGGCCTTGTGTAACCATTACAGCGAAAAGTTGTACACTTTTCAAAAACGCATCTGAATAGGTTGTGAGATTAATAGCCATAATGATGTATTAAAACAAACAAAATTAGATAACTTGTTGAAATATCTAGATGACAGGAACAGATAGTCCAGATGATTAAACAGGCCGCCAATAGTATCAGTAGTCGTAGTAGTAGTAATAGTAGCAGTGAGAGTAACTATGGTTTCGTAATTGATCATACAGTTAAATATTGAAAATTCCACCTAATTATTAACTAACGTAAACAAACTGATGTATATGAAATCATAACCTATTATCTAAAAAGGTTATAATTAGATATCTAAACAGTAACCACTCTATATAGTTCTTATTACTACTGATCAAATATTCAAATAAGCATATCCACTCTAAAAATAGTTGATGAAACATCATTGGAGGCTGCACTCATCACAAATTGATTCCCGTTAAGTTATCATCGAAAACCAGGGAGTAAATGATATCTTTTTCTTTTTAATGTTGGATTTACCAGAAATGGGAACTTACGAACGCCCCCCGGGGATCGAATACACGTCATCAGTTTAATTCTTAATATGATTATAATCTTTAAATAAATTCGTACCAGTTACTTATTAAGACACAAAATTTACACCTGAGAAGAAATTGCAAAAAATTTATGTATTAGTAACTGGTTTTATGACCACATAGTTGACGGAGTTGAGGAATATTATTATTTGACATTCCATCCATAGAGTTGAAATACAGAGAACACGGGGATAGAGGTATTATTCTGACTATTTCTTACTATATAGACATAAGTTTAGTAATAAGATGAATGTATATTTCTGCGACATAGAACATGAGTGTAATTGCTAGGCAAAGATAATAGTGAGAACTATCGAACTTTTGTATCCTTTCTAACTGAACTTAGTGACATTTGCTACTTTACAACTTAAAATTATATCTAGAAACTTAATTGGATTAGTTTTTATTAAGTACTCTAAAACACCGTCATCTCTAAACACAGTTACTTTTGAATAGTTGAGATCATGATTCAGTTGAAGCTAGACTACCATGGGAAACCTGGAAGCACTGGATGGCCAACTCGTCTTATTATGGGACTCCTCAGCAGTGCGCATCCACGATCCCGCCTCGAGAGATTCGGACATAGTTATTTATTAAACTTTAGAAAAATTTCTCTGATAAATGATAAGTTCTTTTTACTTTCTTGCTTCAAATCTGATACTAAACAAATAAATCTTCAGAATATCAGTCTATCCAGATGTAGATACTCATAACCTTATCAGAGATCGAACTCAGGACTTACATGTCTCGTAGCGAGCTCATCCTTAGATTAATGAATCGAAAATTGGAGGTTTACATTTCTAATTTCATTTGATATGTGATAGAGTGTAATCATCTTAAATTGTCATCGAGGATTACTATTTCACTTCTGATATGGTTGAAATTCATTTATTATAGACGCTCATTAAAACTCTATCTATCTCAAAGTTAGACGCATTGAAATAATCCCCAAAATCTATTCACTGTCTTAGACGTTCATTTAAGTAGTATCAAGAACAGCTTCATAATGTATTAAATAATATTAGTAAAGAAACATTATCACTTACTTCACCCCACACAGCAGTTGATCCAAAAACAATTTGTAGACCGGGGAAAAAATTCTCACCAATCACAGTAATCGTTTCACCACCTGTAACCCATCCTTCATTTGGACTTAGTGCTTTAATCACTGGACTTATAGTTGAGTAGACTGAGTAGCAGAAATGAAACAGAACAAAAAGAATGATTTCTAGTTTCGGATTGTTTTCAAAAAAGACTGAATATAATGTTTTTAATTTCGCTAACAACGATAAATTATTAACGGTTAAAATCTAATTTGTTATAAATGACCTAAGAAATAGAATTTGATTAGGAGTTGATTTCCTCATCTTAACCTTAAGATCATTTATTCTGTAGAATAGATGAAATGTGGCTAATTGTTTAACCTATGGGACGCGAATCTCGTCCTATTTGAGACTCATCAGCCGGATATATGTAACACATCTCAGAGTCGACGTTCACTCTGGGGTTCGAATCTAGTATCTTTCGCTTCAAACGTCAACATGTAATCCACTTATCTATGGAGTTCAGATAGCCACTCGTTAGTGGTTTTTAATGGTAACCCGACTACATATAAATGTTTTCTATTAACTCATGAGTAGATTGATGGAATTTCTATCTTTGAATAACATAGAAATAATTCTTTCTTTATACCATAATATTTATATATCCATATCTCTTTTTTAGAAAATGACTTCCGATTTTTGGTAGGATTCAATATATTGAGATATTATTTTGAGCGTTTATGGTATTCAGAAATGAGAAATTATTTCACATTATTCTTAATTAATGGTTAAATTCATGAGCCGGTTAAAGCTAAACCACCATGAGAAACCAAGAACCAGTGGACAGCCATCCCGTCCTAGTGTGAAACTACTCAGTATTGCACATCCACGGTTCCGCTCGCGAGGACCTTCGGTTTCGCGTGCGAATGCTTAACCTTTAGACCACTGAGCTGACCGGCATCCAACGGTGTTAATGTCTAACTTCAATCAATCTACGAAACTGAACAACCGTCAACCATTGTCTTCAGTGAATTACTGCCACACAATAGACACGATTAAACTCCACTGGTCACAGCTTCTCACCAGAACTCCAGGAATTCCATCTTGAAGCCAGTCACTAGTGAGCATATGATGATTAATATCAGAAAGGGGATTTTGTGTAAATTGTAGTAATTTAATAGTTGAATTCATGAGTCAATTAAAGCTAAACCACCACGGAAAACCTTGAATTATCGGACTGCCGTTTCGTCCTAGTATGAGACTCCTCCATAATTAGACAATTAAAAAAAAACAATGAAATTATTTTGTATGAATAAAATTTACTCTTTAGGAAAATACACATAAATGATTTATATATCACTTGTGTATTAAGTTGTACAATTTTACAAATCCCTTGCCGAAAATGAATAAATTGTTCCTGTATTGAGAAGTGGTGGGATATCCTTTTCTATTTATCTTCCAGATGGTCAATTTTTATGGTTTATATCACGAACTAATCCGAATTAGACAACCGTTGCAAATCAGGAAGTAATGAGCTTTTTTTTCTCGATATGAGACTTCTCAACAGTGGAAACAAAATGACTGCAACACGGCTTAAAACTAGAATTTCCAGGTTTCACGAAGAGCATCCAACCTTAAGACAAGTGTATCAGTATTCAAGTGTATAAGGTACTTACTGACCAATGGCAATAAGAGATGGTTGTACAGTATCTAGAACTAATTATTGTTAAATATTTAAGCCATTGGATACTGGCTCAGTGGTTTAAAGATTAAATATCCTCTTTAAGACCTGATAATCTGAGTTTCGAGCCCCATTCTGGTTTTTGATTTCCACTGGTAAGAAACTTCATACTGAGACAAAACATACATGTTCAGCGGTTGTCTTATCAAGATCTGTGCATGACATGAACAATAAAATTACAATATTACGGGTAAATAACTCCACCTTTGAAGAGGTATAATCTTACCATGATAAAAGTCATATAAATAGTAACCAACTGTTTATCTACATATATGCAATGAGAATTCAGTTTAAAATATAGACTACATAAGTTTTTTTTAGAGTTTAAGACATTCAGAAGACATTTCATTTCACAAGTGTAACCTTATTTAAGTTTAACCCTTAATTCATAAACATATCAAAGTGAATAATGAGTTTTGTTTTACACTGTTATATTCAGAATTGCCTAATGATGTAATTATATACATATCCATCTATTGCAAAATAGTGATAATGAATTTGTATATCCAATGATAAAATTATGTTTTGGTTGATTGCTTCCTTCCTTCCTTCCTTCCTTCTCCCCTACCTACATCCTTCTCTCTTTTCTTTTTCTTTTCCTTCTTTGAATGAAATAATAAACCGTCAAAATGTAGATCGAATTACTTTGCTACACAATGGTTCCAACAAGACCAATACCAATTATCAATCAATAAATAATAAAAAAATTCACGACTCATTTAACACCATCTAATTACAAACCCTTAAGGCATTATTCTTAAACACCATGACATATGATGAACATAATGATAGTTGTCGAATATCATTCTTCTATATATTCTTCTATGCCAATGTTCATTTGTTCATCTTATTTATTGCATATATATATATATATATATATATCAATGAAGGGGAAATAAGAGGGTGGATAAATGGTTGATTAGTTGGGGGTGATTACGAAATTCATAAAAATCCCAAAGGGAATTAATAGACTGTTTAATTTTGTAGATCAATATTCTTATATAAATATTGACTATGCCAATGATAGAAAAATAAAACTATGGAAAAGTTATGTTCTGTGTGTGTGTGTGCATATATAGATAGATACAACGTAATGAAATGGAACAATTCTGATAGTAAATAGTTCCCCCCCATCTCCACCACCCCAGTTCATTCTCTCTAATTTATTGTTACAATGGAAATAAATTATTTTCTAATTAATACAAATTAAAATAGAAATCAGTTATTTTGTTTCATTTTGTTTTTATAGAGAATGATCTGCCACTGTTCTACTAAGCACATTGCGTCATTATCAGAAAGGTTTTTGTGGAGGTTTTAGTAATTTTATAGAATTGAGATCATGACTCAGTTGAGACTGGTAGGTCCTGAGTTCGAATCTCACGAGTGCCAGATCGTGGATGCGCACTGCTGAGGAGTCCCATAATAGGACGAAACAGTTGTCCAGTGCTTCTAGGTTTTCCATGGTAGTCTAGCTTCAACTGACTCATGATCTCAACTCTATAAAACACATTGCGTCATTGTTTAGAGATTGTATAGAACAATACACTATTGTATGTGTCAGAGAGACATGATTCGTTGTTGAGACAACGTAATACTGTTCTATATTATATCAAATTATTGTAAGACAAGAAATCGTTTCCATTCTTTAGAGACTTTCATAGTATATATATTGGTATATGTGCATCCTGTGAGGATTGCTTTGATATTCTCTTAAGTCACGAGTACTATAAGCTTAGATGGATGATGGCTGGATGTACTTGCATCTCAGAGTTGATGTTCGCTCCGGGACCAGGACCTAGTACAGTTCACTTCAGACGCCACCGCATTATCCGCCTAGCTGATGAGTCCCGAATAGAACGAGACACGCGTCCTGGATTCCACCGTTAACCATCATCCATCTTTGTATCTAAAGTGTAGTTAATCAATATTAGTTAACTGAATGGTTTAGGAAAGAGTAGTTGAACTGTGAGTTAATTTTTTTTTCTACGAATTATTATCGACTGAGGAGGGTTAATAAAATCCAGAAAGTAATTCATAACTATTTCGTCCCGTTATACAACTTTCCATCTGTGAACGTACAACCTTATCACAAATTATGAACTTAGGACATTCAGGTAACACAGTGAATGCCTAACATTTAGACTATAGATCTGAAATCTAATAATATTTGCACTTTTAACTTCAATCAATCTACTGTATATACCTCAACATTATCCAATACCATAAGTGGACCACTACCTCATTCTAAACATATTTGAATTCTATCAATCATGATTTCATATTTGAACCTTGAGAATTCTTCTCAATACACTATTATTAACGAGCATATGAACGATATCCGGTTTAGGAGGTTTTCATTAAAATAAGATTAATCCATGATGAAAGACGACTTCATTAACAATTGGTTTCATATTAACAGATCCCACATTCAGAGCCGTGGATGTTTAATGCTGGGGAGTCCTATACTAGGACGAAGTGGCCGTTCAGTGCTTCCCGGTTTATAATGGTGGTCTAACACTGACCAGTCCATGATATATATATATATATAACTCCTCCTGTAGCTCTTCTAGATTTACTGCCGGTCCCAAGCCCTGGTAAAGGAAGAGAGTTGGGAATGGGGTTAGCTATCCCATCCCGTAGAAAACTTACACGCTAATAAACGCTAACCAGCTGGTGGGCAGCCTATGCTCCTCCACAAGGGGTAACAGGCGTAATATATATATATATATATATATATATATATATATATATATATATATATATATTGATTCACCTACTTCTTCAAATAAGATAATTTTATGTTCATTATATTCCATGTTTATATGATAAACATCGTGAAAAATTGAACAATTAATAGATCAATGAATTATCATCCATGTTGAATATATACAAACTCAACATTAATTAAAAGCAGAAAAATAAACTGAGAAATATAGTTCTCCCAAGGGAAATTAGTCCAACAATAAAAAAAGAAAAAACCAAATTTTGTTGTGTTTTTTTATTAACTAGTCAAATTACATCTGAAATAATGGTGAGCTTCTGTTAAATGAAAATATTTTCATTTATTTATCTATTTTACTCATTTACACTCTTACTCTTCTATTATCACTCACTTACTCACTCATCCACTTACTTATCCACTCGTTCACTGACCCGCTCACTCACTCAGCCACTCACTCACTCTCCTTCTTGCTATCATTTTGCCTTTATGATATGGTTATAAAAGTTTGAATAAATATTACCTAATGTTTATATGTAATTACATTTATGAATATTTCAATAATGATGAGTAAGTTATGAGTGTAATAGAAAGTAAAATGTATATGAAGGGTTTCAGTCTAGCTGATGTTATCATTGTTTCCAACTATTATTTATTAAAAGATTTCTAAACTAGATAGAGTTGCT